ATTGTGATTTTCCAGACGCCGGTGGCATTTAGGTTAGGACTCCCACCGACCGTGCACGTGATCCGGGGTTCGATTCCCTGCCAATGCACATCTGATATCAATAGTCGACCTGCGAAATTTGGCCTACAGATATTACATCCTGAAGATACCATACTTGTATCAAAAATACAGTGTGGAATCAAGCTATAATCAAAATATAAAATAAGATAAAATGATTGGCCTAATAAAAATTCTAAACAACGCATCTACGTGTCACTCAGTTATGAACATAGGATGAAATAAAATCTCTTTTGTCACATGACAAAATGATTCTGATAAAAGCACCAAAGTCTTCACGAACTGAAAATCTCACTCCATCTTTTGATAATTTTTGAATCATCTAAACCTTGTTTTTAGGAGTTCTAATGGGAATCTGCGACACCTGTGGATTTTCTAGTATTGGTGTTGTAGGGATTTTCTTTGATTGCATGGAGGATTTCATCATGAGCTGGCATCAGTTAGAAAACCACTGGCGACTGGCACTATTCAGGCAGTTAACTTGGGGTTCTAGTAGGAAGCCGTGACCAATAGGACACAGCAGGTCAAAAATGAGGCATTAACTCATCGAAGAAGACATTGCGAAATGGTCACGATATGTCGTGAATTAGCAGAAGTTAGAATTCATGGGCTGGCCAGTTAGGAGTCGGGTCCCAGTGGCTCAGTGGTCTTCCAGCTAGCTTGTCTTGTAACCAGAAGGTCCTGGGTTGGAGGCGCCTGTGGTGGATGCGTACTGATGAACAGTCCCAAACTAGGACGAAGGAAACAGCTGTCCAGTAGTCCCAGCTGGTTTTCCAATGGTCCTCTAACCGATGATGTCAGCTCATGATGAAATCCTCCATGCAATCAAACCTGTGGCTTATCAAGCTGGATTTCAGCTACATGTACAATGTTTCGAACCTGACCGACCAGGAACCAATTGTACAATAAATATACCGAAGAAAGAAAATGGGGATAGATCCGACATACGCTGAAGAGGCAGTTAAGTGGGCCTTGGAGTGGAGTCCAAATAGTAAATGGAATGGTGAACCAGGCTACCTGGTTGATGTGGAGGGCATCGTGTTAGGGGGATAAGGGAACCTATGGGCAGTGGTGGAACCAATCGAAAGTGACTGCAAAAAAAGGATAAAATAGATAAATGATGTTGAAGCCCAGTGTTCCACTTCTAATCTAGTGATCAAATGTTAATGCGCTCGCTTTGTATTCTAATGCTTCTTGATTCTGTGTCCTGCAGGTTTCCGTGTAGACCCTAATGAAACAAAGTAAAACGTATTTCCACTACCTTATGCTTTATGATGATTTTTTCAGCTGATATCTGTTTACATTATAAAGGTCACCCTAAAATCAATCAAATACCCCAATTTTATTGTTTATTGTTCATGTATTTGTTGTGACTGAAAGTTAGTCACATGGATTTGATCATCTGACACATCAATCTGTAAACAACAGGAAGTGAGTACTCGAGAGAACGAAAATACATCAAATGATGACCCTTTGTGTCATGTAACGTGAAGAATACAAAAACAAAGAATAATTATACTTAGCATAAGTCAAAAATCAGCGATTCTATGCGATTTTGACAGAATATTGATGGATTTTGTCATGGGACTTACTATGTAGCAAGCAGATGCTTTCTAAAGAACACCAGGAATTGTATAGTGGTCTTCTGTACTGGAAATCTTCATGGTATTGATAGGTGATAGGTTTCCTCAGCCTATAACATAACTAAAGTTCCAGATTGAAACGTGGTGGTATTCATTTGAAATTTATCTTTACATTCTGTACTTTAGACAGCTAACTGCAGACAAGCAGTTTTTTTTTCCCTCATCATAAAAGGGTTGGTATTGTGTGTGTGTGTGTGGATAGAAGCAGTAGTAGGTTTATGGTTTGTTTTGTCCAAAATCTAAAGTCCATAACCTGGTCTGTATAGTTTTTGTATAAGAAGAATTCGTTGCTTCGATAAAGTTATCGTTTGACAAGGATTTCTACGGCAGTTTCAACAAAGAACTTCGTACTGTACTGTAGTCCAACTGGTTAAACTGCATATAGCTTGCACAAGGGGTCTTGATAAAAAACGTCCAAAAGACCGTGTGATTTTCTTAAAGTGAAGTCAGCTATCTTCGAATTACAACTAATGTATGTGTCAACTGAACTTATGTTTCTGGTTTTTTTTCAGTACCCTCGACTGATTCTGAAAAAAACATATGCACAAAAGAAGTTGCACGGTAGACAGGAGATGTAATGGTTTTCCCACAGACATTGGTGGAATCTTGAGGCACATTTTGACTTGCCTGATGAGTTTGATAAAGTTGAGGTAACTATCGGTCTTTCGACTAGTATCATAAACATTTGTCTCGATGATGCTGCAGAGCTATTACAAAAGTCCTTATATCAAATAAAAGTCTGCACATCTTGTTTATTCACTCTGTAAAAGTCGTGAAAATATAGTAGAGATAATTAAAACTGTGGTGAAGGCTGACTGCAAGCCAAAATTGTAGACAACTATTTACGTCAATGTTCACACCTCGAATCAGGGTCATGAGAAAAACAACGAAAAAACTTAACCTTGAGAAACTCACCAACCAATCACAGAAGACTTAACGTGTGCAAATACGATTCGCAGACATATGACTTAGTCTTCTAAGAAACAGTCACACGCATCGCGGAGTAACCTTCAGCAAGAAAACAATCAATCAGAAGATGTTGCTTCTCCGCTGACAATAAAATCTAAGAATATCTCTTGATTTTATCAATAAACGATCTGTTGCCTGACCCTTATCTTCTGTCGTTACAAAATAACCTCAGTGATCTGAGTTTCGCAGCTGCTCACGTTTATCTTTAAGATTACATGTTTGAAGATATAAATTTGTTTGTCATCCTCGTCATCTCCTATTTTAAATGACATGAAAAGGGATCCAGGGTTATAAATCGATTTTGTGTATATATTTAATAATGACTTTGGCCTGTAAGCAGCTGATGAGAAAGCAACGAAATAAATGATGGCACCACTTTATTCTGCAAAAACGGTTGTTCTTGCTTTATTCAAATTCATTAAGGGGAATAAATGTGTAAAATATTCTTTTCGAAAATCTCTTCTCCATCAGGTTTTACGCTTAGATATAATGCAGAAGATTTGTAGCTCAAGTGAATGATTTTGATGTGGTTGTGTTTTCTGAGCTGGATGGTTTATTTGCGAAGCTTTCATTTCCCTACTAGGCGACATCTTCAGCGCACATTTCTATTCGCTAAAGTGAGCTGTTAGATTTCTACACGAGTTTATTAGTCATTTCTCCTGGTGACCTTGGACGTGATTAGTTGCTTTTGTGCGTTTTCACACTCTCTAGGTTACTTGCATTGGAACTGATTGTTTCTTTGACTTGAACTTTGACCCTTTGTGTGTGAGATCTCCTTCTTATCGACTGGTTAATTTTATCTATATCAATGTCTCTATTGATTGATGATTCACTGAAATACCAGGCTTATAAAAATTCTCTATCATTTTTGATGTTTCCTCTGTCTAATATTTGAACGTTGGTTGTCCCACTCGAATTGATATCCGTGGTTATCTGTATATAGTGATATGAGGGGGGGGGTGTCATGTCTTTTGACGGCTATGTTGATAATAATTCAAGTATTTTAGGGATTTTGTTTAATTGTATGGAGGATTTCATCATAAGAGAGAACCACTGGGGAATGTGGGAGTATTGAACAGTTGTTTCGTCCTAGTTTGGGACTCTTTATCAGGTCGAAGAAGAGGCAGTAACTCATCGAAGAAGACATTGCGAAATGATAGTGCTATGTCGTGAAATGGTAGAAGTTGGAATGCGATAATCATTGGATCGAGTTCCAGTGGCTCAGTGGTCTACGAGCTAGCTTGCCTTGTAACCGGAAGGTCCTGGGTTTGAACCCCTGTGGTGTGTGCGTATTGATGAATAGTCCCAAACTAGAACGAAACAGCTGTCCAGTACTCCCAGGTTTTCCAGTGGTTCTCTAACTGATATCATCTCATGATGAAATCCCCCATACAATGTAAGATTTTCATTGGGAATCAACTTTAGTTAGAGAGACCACTGAAAACTAGGAAACACTAGACAGCTGTTTCCTCCCATTCTGCGACTCCTTACAGCACTCACTCATGATACCGCCAGGAATCAAACCCAAGGCACTAAGACATTAGACTCATTGATAATTCAAACACTCGGACTGGAGTCTACTGTCGCTTGAATTTTAACTTTGCTAACATATAATGATGCACTGCACTCAGAAATGCTTTCGACGAGCCACCAATTCCATTTGACATGGTGGACTCCAGTGGTCACTACTTTCCAATGCAACTTCAGCAAGTCCATTCACTTTGTGTTGAAAATCTAACATTTGGAATTAATTCAGAATTCCAACAAGTCCTCTATCCTTAATATGACTCACCAGCTCACTGATAGCCACTGGACGAATTTCGTGAGGTTGGAGTTGAAATTCATTACCAGTGGAGTCCACAATGTCAAGGATAGGTTGACAATCATCGAAGACATTGTTGAGAGGTTAGGGGTCAGTGAATTCGATCCCGAGCGTCTAAATAGTGAGCTTGATCGCTTAGCTACTAGGTCTAGGATTCGATTCCCGCCGAGCTAGTGGGTGCTTGGTATAGAAGAGCCCCAGAATAGAACGAAACAACTGTTCAATGCTCTTAGGTTTTCGATGATTACCTAAAATGATGTTGGTTAATAACGAAAATCTTACAAATGAAATAGATCCTATATCCCCATAAATCCAATAGTCTCATTGGAATGAGAGTTAAAGTGAGGTAAGACCTACACCATATTAATTGATGTGAAATGTCTTCAATCCACATGTGGTTTCCCATCATTAAATGAATTTTTACTTGTCAATATCGAACTTATTAATTTGTTTCATTTCACCATCTTCACTTTCGCTGTTTCTACATGTTTTCTTTTCATTCTTCACAGAAATGGATACCGAAATTTGCCAATCCAATAACATTCAATAATTTCAATCAACGTCTTCTTGACCAAAGAGTATGCCTGTGTCAATTTTGGTCTGAAAACTCGGAATCATTCTGCGTTCAAGTGAAGACAATAACTACTTCCGGTAAAAATAATCCTGACTTCACTGTTGAAGTTCGATTACGCTACACTCTGGATAATTGGCGAACATATACGGAATGTCCACCGTTGACAAGAATTGATCATTTAACCGAAGCCTACAATGATCATCAATGGATAGAGACTTATGAGTCAGAAATTAAACTACACTTAGCCTTATTCAATGAAATGACAGTTTATTCTGTAGATTATAACTCCTATTTATTAGAATTTGCTGTTGTCTATCGAGGCAGTGGATTTGAATACTGGGATAATAATTATTCACAGAATTATTTGTCTTATCTCTGATGAGTGATCACTGAGATCACTGATCAATGAGTGGTGAATATTCTTATTCAATGCATGTTTCCAACGTGTTTTTCTTTTTTTTTTACAGACCAAAAAATATACAGACAAAATATGTTACCAGTTGTTTTCGTATCCTCTGGATTTATTCCCCTACTTAGTTTTTTGTGAAACTGCCAATCGATGTGTCAGCGTTCTGATAACCCCCATTCAAATTATGAATTGTTATCAACGAATTAGTAATATCCTCCTCTTTATCAGACAAAGGGGAATTTCTCGTGAGAATTTCTTTACAAGTGTTGGCTTTTGGGGATTTAAGTAGCTTAAAAATCCCCATTCAGTCATATGAAAAAGAGAAGACGTTCAGCAAAGAGACTCTTTTCCGAGAACTGATTCACATAGCTGTACAATCGCATTTATATATAATTATTTGTGTGTGTGTACATGAGGTTTTTCAAGTTTAGATAATTTATCAGGCAATACAAGAATGATATAGTTTAGAAACAACGTTAATCAGACAGCAACTAAAGTAAGATTGAGTTAGTAAGTTAGATGACGTAATATCCAGAAACATCTCACTGACTGAAACAATATGCCATATATGCGAATTTATTCACTCAGAGGGAGTAAACACCGGTATATCCACCCAGCGTCTTAAAGAAGTCCTACTAAGAGGAACTCTGAATGTTTAATTCTCTTTTAACAACAAAATATATCGTTAAAATGATAGTATAGCTATAGGCTCACCATTAGGACCATTGCTTGCAGATTTCTTCATAGCAAAACTAGAAAACACATGCCTGAAGAAAATGATCAATACCTTCGAAATCAATAAAAGATGCATCGACAACGATTTGATTACCGTCCACAATGAAGAAAATCTAGACAACATCTTGGAGTCGTCTAACATCTGCCACCCCATGATTTAGTTCACGCTGGAGAAAGAGTCCAACTCCAAAATATCCCTTCTTGACGTTCAACTAACAAGATGAGAACAGAATGAAACACTGAAAACATCTATCTACAGAAAGTCGACGTGGAACGGACAGCTTGCTAGCTTTCACAGTTGGGTACCCCTCTACACCAAACAAAACCTGATACGTTCACTCAGATATAGAGTTCGCAGAATTTCCACCCCGGACACCATAGAAGACGAATTGAACAATCTCAAGAAAATCCTCGTCGAGGATTTTTACCCAGAACGATATATGGCAAAATCCATGAATCCTAGACCACGAAAGCCACCTGAACCTTCAGTTCAATGGAGATATATCTGCGGAAACACTGAAAAATTGACTGTTGCATTCACTTATGAAAAACTTCTTCGCAGCTGAACTATGACTAACCTTCTCCACGAAATTTTTTATTCGTGTGAACGTGAAGGATAAGCTAACACTGCTGGCCTCATAAATGTGTATCTACCAATCCATCTGCTCGTTTGGAGCCAGGTATGTCGGCCGTACCCAGCGTTCACTTTTCAAACGTATCACCGAACACTTACCAATATGTTTTTACGAAGGAGAAAGCCGATGACCCCCAGCTCCATCTTAGAGCATCGGATAGATTCCGGACACCAAGCTACACCTCAAACAAACCTCAAAGTCGTCTACAGAGTAAGAAGTAGTCTTCCTAAAGTTGTACGAATCAGACTTCTTCAAACTCCCGAAGCAATGGCGATTCACTTGCTAAGTCCTGAACTCTGCATACAGAAGAAGTTCGTTCAATCACTACACCTGCAATGGACTTAATCTATCTTAATATGGGACAGGTAAATTCTACTTACTGTTTTTTCTCTTCTGTCTCCTCACTAGTATTATTTTGACTTTTCAATTGTAATATTTTATATTTTCAACCTTCCTGTTCTCTACCCTCACCCGATTTAATTTCTGTTCATCAAAACCGCTGTTACTGACTTGAACATAGCTCAATTTCTAGTCATTTATGTTACGTCATCTAACTTATCTGCTCAATTTCAGTTCTAATTTAAATTGCATGATTCTCTAACCCACATCTACTTAGTCTCTAACTGTATTTACCTCTGTTGCTACCCTGACCTAAGCTAAAACATTATAGTCAATTATATTATGTTATCTAAATTACTAACTCAATCTTACTTTAGTTGTTGTCTAATTAACCTTGTTTCTAAATTAGATCATTCTTTTATTACCTGATCAATTATCTACACTTGACAAACCTCATGTAAACACACACTCACATAGAAATAGTTATATATAAATACGATTGTACAGCTATGTGAATGAATTCTTCGAAAAGAGTGTCTTCACTGAACGTCTTCTCTTTTGTGGATTTGATTGGTTCCAGGTCTGATCACCAGCTGACACGAGTTGAAAAACCACTGGAAAGCCAGGAGGAAGTACTGGACAACTGTTTTGTTAGCCTAGTTTGTAACTTTTCTGTAGTACACACCAACTGGGGTTAGAACCTCATGCCTTCAGGTTGCAAGGCGGGCTCGTAAACCATTTTACCTTTGGAACCCAACACAAAGATCCATGAATTCTAACTTCAGTCAATTCGCGGTACGTGCGTATATCTACATACACCGTGTCTCAGGCGAGTAACTGATCTCTTACCTGACTTGGCGGATCACACTAGTCACGCCTTCTCAGTAGACCTCCAAACAGCTTCCTCTACACAACCAGTCTCTAGTGAGCATCAAATTAACTATCATATGTTGATTTTCAGGGATTTGACTAGTCTAATTATCGCAGATATTTTATTGAGATCCAGTGTTCCTCACATTCATCCAATCAGTAAGCACAACGGCTGGGTAAAACGTTTGAGAAACACTGTGGTGTAAGCGAAAATCCAATTGCCTCTATAGTTTCAATTGAAAGGTTTTAAGATAGTAAAACAATATTCTCGAAATAATATGACCAGCTTGAAGTCACTGGAGTAAATAATTCCCCCCCCCCAAAAAAAATCCTTTGAATAGCATACGAAATCAGTCATTTCGAATGAGTTATCTCAATATGTACGTCGACCATCAAAATAATCGATTTTGATGGTTGTCGACTTTGAACTGTTCAAATTATTCGATGTTATGTCTGTTTTTCAAGATTTTGTTGGTAGTAAAACACCATGGAGATACAAGAAATTGTCCCTCTCTTCTTAGGTTATTTGTCTTGTATTCCTCTGTTGTAACACTGAAGGGAACAGAGAGTAGGTAGGTGTAGATCAACTGATCAATAATTTTAGAGTTCTAGCGAACATTCTCTAGTTCCTTAGGGATAAGACATCATATGGCTTCAGAAAAATGTTTGCAAGCAACGATATATGAGATATTTTAGACTTAAGCACCAAAAACAGTAAAGTGTTGATGCAAAGAAAAAATACTTCACCAGAATTAATTTGCAACTGTAAATATATTCAAAGCTGAGTAAGTGTGAATAAGTTAGTGACTTATTTTTATTTTATTGTGATGCCATGTTTTCTGCTGGTGAACCGAATCAGTTTTCACCCGGCAATATAACTGCCGGTTTAGACAGATTTCTTGAAGAAAATAAACGATAAACTCAGTGAAGAAAATTTTATTTATCGACGAAATTATGTTTACAGCCTGTACTCTACAGTCGTAATTATATTCACCGAAAATGTATAGTAGTCTACTATTGAGTAATAGGTGAGGTGGGGTGACATATTTGATATAATTACTCGGAAGTGGCTTCGAAAGTAAAAATAAATCAGTGGTTCTCTAACTGATGTCAGCTCATGATTAAATCCTCCGTGCAATCCAACAAAATCCCTGCAAAACCAATACTTGAAAATTAATCTGATGCTCACTAGCGACTGGCCCTATTCAGGCAGTAAACTTGGGGTTCTAGTGTGAAGCCATGAGCGGTAGGGTACAGAAGGTCGAAGACGAGGCAGCAACTCATCAAAGAAGACATTGCGGAATGGCCGCGCTATGTCGTGAAATTGGCAGAAATTAGAATGCACGAACCATTGGATCGGGTCCCAGTGGCTCAGTGGTCTACGAGCTAGCTCGCCTTGTAACCAGAAGGTCCTGGGTTCAAAAGTGGTGGTGGGTGCGTACTGACGAAGAATCCGAGGAAGCAGCTGTCCAGTTCTCCCAGGTTTCCCAGCGGTTCTCTAACTGATGTCAGCTCATTGCGAAATCCTCTATCCAAGTAAAAATGAAAGTTGTAAATTACGTTGTATTCAACGGAACAAATGAAGAAAACGCTAGAAATGTGATAAGCTTAAAATTGCTATTGAGTAAGAATAAAGGTAGTTGAGTGTCAATTTAACAAGTGTGAAGAGGGTGTGAAAATGTACAAAAAGAAAATATGAGAGCGATAATAGTGAATGAATTATAAAAGTAGAAGCAAAATAAAAGTAAAATGGAAAATAAAAAATAGAATTATTTTGACGGGGAACAACTAGTGAAGAAGTTCAGACCATGGGGGAATAAGAGACTAGACAAACGTTTTCTGTGAACGGAGTTCGGGGTTGTATTGACGAAATGTCGACTCCTACGCCATACACAAAAGCCAAAACCTGCCGCTCATTGTACCATTCAGCCTCACCTTCTAGATGATCTGGTAGAGAGCGTCTCTTATTCTACCTTTAGTCTTAACCTCGTCCCATGTAAAATCTTGTATTGCCAACTACATCTATTCTCACCCAAAAGCAATTTTAAGCTTAGCAAACTTCTAATGCTTTCTTCCTTTGCGCCATTGACTACTTCGTGATTCAAAACTTTTATTTTTACCTCTAAAACCACTTCTGAGTAATCATATATTATTATATATTATTATTATATTTAAAACTCTTATTTTTACTTTTGAAGCCTCTTCTGAGTAATTTTATCAATTATGTCACCCCTCTCACTAGAACTTCAGGAAACTCCATCCTGTAGGAAGTCACCAGCGAGCATCAGATTAATATTCTATAGTTAGTTTGTAAGGGTCACTGTTCGTGACCAGTGAGGTTCATCCATTCGCGTGTGAGGATGGATGTCCCACCGACAACATTGGTTGGGA